TCGGGGGCACTCGTCATCGAGTGTCCTTTTCTTCTTAGTTATTCCTTGAGGGTCAGTTGAGGGATGTCTCTTTCTTTTCCGGGTCACGTGGTGTCCAGTCTCTTCGTGGGCGGTTTTCTCCTTTTAGCCAGTCTGCGATGAGTGCGGCGTTAAGGGGAAACGGGGGGGGGGGGTTTCTTCTTCATCGTTGTCGTCCTTTTCCACGGTTGATGTTAGTACCGTGGCGAGGGGAAATGGGGTAGGGGGAAGGAGTATCTCGTGAATGGGTTATCCAACGGTGGCAAAAAAGAGTAACTTAAACCTAACTTAGCCTAGGAAAAATAATAAGTATTAATTAGGGGGCATGGGGGAGGGGGGTGCAAAATTCTGCCTCATCACAACGTATAATAATAATAATAATTGGAAAAAAGGAATTTTTTCTATATTGAATGGAAATGTAAGGTTTGTAGAAACGAACATGAGAAAATTTTTTAGAATGTGTAAATATATTTTTACATTTTTGCAAGTCAAAACAAAAGACCGATTTTAAGATAAGAATTGAATTAAAAGTGTCTGATTTTTCAATCAAAAAGTTCATTAAAATCTTTTTCAGTATTGTCCAATTTTTGATGAGTACTCTGGAACCAATGTTTCAAGCGGTGCACATTCACCAAAGCGCAGCAAACTAACTCCTGCGCTGTCTTAATGTGTCGATGAGTGTGTGGAGGGGCAGTTTCTTTGAAGACACAATTGTCGATCTTTGGACAATTGTAATCTTCTAAATTTACAACGTGGTAGGAATCGCCAAGCAGTTGTTCTACATAGTGCTGGTTCTCTAAGCCTTTCACATAAATTTTCCGACTATTCAGTAGAAAACTGTGAAAAACTTTGTCAATGTTCTTATAATCACAATCACCAACACTCCATTATATTCCATGATGATTACGAGTTAGCCACCTGTTGGTTACAATATCCTGCATCTCCAGATCACTACAGGCACATGGTGGTTGAAAGAGGATGTTGATGGGGGGAGATTCTTCAATGTCTGGCGACTGTCGCACTGCCACTGCACTCAGTTCTTTTATGATGAATTCTCCTCGTTTTTGGAATCCTTGCAAATCAATGATGAATGCCATGCTGTTCTTGTACAAATGATGATTGGATAATTTCTGATAGTCCAATTACTCTTACGTTCAGAGCGGAGGTGTGCAGTATCCCCTTTTCTTGGCTCGTGTGTTTCTTCACTGGCTATTTCCCTCTCTCCGCCCCATCCACATCCAATTTTTTTTCATTGCTTATTATATACTATGGAAAAATGAGCTGAGGACATCAATTGCCACAGGCTCCATTTC